ATCTACTACCACCGCTGAGCTAGCTCCGTAGCTCTGCTGAGAACAGCTTTGTTGTAGAAAATTAAGTATATCGATTACATTGGTTCCATTGAAGTTCAACACCTAGAATGATGCGCAAAGCAGGAACCTTCTTTCATTCGACTATCAGCTGAGTATTGTGTTAAAGGACAAACGATCGTACCATGCACCACATAAATCGTTATGTTTAGATACTGAAAAAACTAACAAAATATATTGAAGGTTTACTTGTCTTTTTCAAAGTCTATGTGTTTTCCAGCGCGGAAACACCATGGCATCGATCGCATTTCTTTTGCACAAACTCATGCCATGGTTTTTTGTCACTTCTGTCTATCAAAGCAAACATTTCTTGGATAAATGAAAACAATGACCAAGAGAAATCACAGCGCTTTTCATTGGTACAGCGCAATCCGGTATCTACATATGTACGTCGAGCTTCATCATTTAATACGGAAAAATGGCGGCTAGCCGTAAAGCCCGTCGTCCTTTGGTAGCTGTCGTTGGGCGCTGCTGCTCCGAATTTCCAGAGGCTTGAAGCGCGGTCTGAGAAAGATGTTTATGTTTTCGGTTGCAGTTCTCTTCGGCCGAACAACTCTTCGTGCCGTTTATGTTTTCCTTATCGGGAACTCGTCTTGGAAAAACAACACATTCCCTAAGCCTATATCCATTGTAGCAATCAGCCAAAGCCACTTTATCGTCCCTAGCTAACTGCAACTTTTCAAAAAAGGCTGCGAAGTCTTCGAGCATGTGGGCCGCATCAAGATCTGGAAACTGGCTCACCCCATACTTTTCCAAGAGGCAAGCGATTGAGCGTCTACGCGTGCAGCTGTACGGTAGACAAGGTAAAGCATTTTTGCCAGTTGCAAGGGTTAAATAATAAACAGCATTAGGGTCATGATTCATCTGTCGAATCAAGCCGCGTACAATACGGCAGAACTCCTGTACATCGAATCTAGGGGACGCATTTTCTGTGCCACGATTTCTCGTTTCAAAAGGCACGGTTTGAATGGCTCCCATTTCATGTAAGATGTGAACTGCCGACAGCGGTAGGGTGGCACCCCTCAACTTCAAAAACCGGGTTTCCAATTCGTTTAGAGACAGCTGAAATAAATGAACACAAGCCGACACACACATTAACATCATTACGAAATAACACAGGGATGATCATATAATCCCGAGTAATCTGAGAGATTTCCACCACGAATAGGAACTCTGCGCTTACAAGTGCACAGGCTTTAGTCGTCTAAATGAACTACAGTTTATATTAAATTCTAGGCCTCGATTTTTTTTCCAGTTCTCGGGGATTTCCCAGTAAAACACAAGCGAGATTCATCTTGCTCGAACTTAGTAATCTTTACACACCGGTTTTGGACTTGCCATGAAAAAGGCAAGAACAATCGCGACGTCGGGTCCGCCGAGGGCGGTCGCTTGTCTCAGACTGAAATTCTGCCTGTTTTCCGCGGTCGTCTTTTCCTCAAATTCGTCTATCGTCTTGGGTAGCCTACGACACCTATGGATGAATACAAGTACAATTAGACTAAAGCTAGCCTCAAAACGTGATTCTCTATATTAAACCTTTGATACTACCTTTAAGGAATGTTCATCCTTGAGGTATTTTAATTCTCAGCTGAATAAATTAATCTCAGGCTAAATTGATTTGAAATGGGCTTGATAACAATACGAGCATATGAAGTAGTTTGTCTTGTAACTGACCTTTCCAAAGCGCGAATTGGGTCGAGTGTCCTGGTGTTGTCTGAATTATTCACTAATTGCAAAATCCAGCGCTGGATGAAGTCCCGCCGCCATGTGGTATCAAGCCCAGTAAGCACTTTGGCCGAATAGTACATATCGGCTGATTGAGTCGCCAAAAGCATTTCCGCCATTTCCTGTACAATTTCCTGCAAGGTCCAGGGTTCGGGCATATCTAATTAATTCAACAATCTTCGTCAGCGTGGGCGTGAAATATGGTCAAACTGCATTTGTGAGTCATGACAGTAGTATTCAATAGCGCTACAAATTATAATAAACTTATGCAAACAAAATAAAAAATTATATATTATATAGGTGATGATTGCCGGTGAATTTATGATGAAGGATTTCACTTTCACGATGAACGTCCATGATGATTTGAAAAAACCCTCCATTTCATTTTTCTGATCTAACTTAGTCCACTCTATACGAATATAACCTTAATAATCCAGAATAAGTTCCTCCTTCCTTAATAATAATAAGTCCTGATGCTAGGAAAAGATTACTGTCGATAAATTTACCTGGAAACAGTTGATGCGTGTTGCGATAGGAAGAGCTTTGAGAACGTCGGGCAGTGCTACTGACAAGCACCTGCTAGATGTGGTTAATTTTAAAAATCGTTTTGCCAGCTGCATACTGGAAAAACGTTGATTAGAAGATATCTAAAATATTGGAAATGCACTATTAGAAAAAAGTTTTCGTAGGCTAAAATACTAAAGTAACACAACGTGGCACAGAGTGCTTCGACAGTTGTGACCGAAAATTTCTATTGGAGGATGTATGTTTAACGAATTCTCTATTGATGGAGTGACTCTATGGGCAGGATGCGATGACAAGTTCCAGATAAATCATTCGTTCAAGACCGCTAGAAACCTTTACCAAGTCCTGCTTTACCTTTATGCGAGAAGGCGACCTGAACCCGGCCTCGGCGAGACCAGGAAAGCCCATTAATGTAAACACTATTGAAGCGCCAACGTGATTGAGCAATGACTCAACCCCATTAGTTCGAGGTATATTCCCAGCGCTTATACATTGTAAGTCCATATACGAATCATAGTCCAAAGACAAAACCGTTGCTTTTTGTTCGTCAGCGTCAGAGTATTTGCCGTCTTCTGTAATGAGCACAATAAAGACGGGAAGAATATTACAATCGCAAGGAAAATGTCAGGTAACTCATGCTATGGAAGGTTACAATAGGAGAAAAAGCAAAAGTATGTAAAAACATCGTATTATATAGTATGACTTGGTTGCACTGATGAATTTTATTTGCACAAGTTTATCTAACATGCATAAAAAATTGGTTGCATATGCCTAATGTATATCAGGCTTGACAATTTGGATTTTTCATTATTGACTTCGCAGCCTTTTTTGAAAAGTTGCAGTTAGCTAGGGACGATAAAGTGGCTTTGGCTGATTGCTACAATGGATATAGGCTTAGGGAATGTGTTGTTTTTCCAAGACGAGTTCCCGATAAGGAAAACATAAACGGCACGAAGAGTTGTTCGGCCGAAGAGAACTGCAACCGAAAACATAAACATCTTTCTCAGACCGCGCTTCAAGCCTCTGGAAATTCGGAGCAGCAGCGCCCAACGACAGCTACCAAAGGACGACGGGCTTTACGGCTAGCCGCCATTTTTCCGTATTAAATGATGAAGCTCGACGTACATATGTAGATACCGGATTGCGCTGTACCAATGAAAAGCGCTGTGATTTCTCTTGGTCATTGTTTTCATTTATCCAAGAAATGTTTGCTTTGATAGACAGAAGTGACAAAAAACCATGGCATGAGTTTGTGCAAAAGAAATACGATTGATGCCATAGTGTTTCCGCACTGGAAAACACATAGACTTTGAAAAAGACAAGTAAACCTTCAATATATTTTGTTAGTTTTTTAGTATCTAAACATAACGATTTATGTGGTGCATGGTACGATCGTTTGTCCTTTAACACAATACTCAGCTGATAGTCGAATGAAAGAAGGTTCCTGCTTTGCGCATCATTCTAGGTGTTGAACTTCAATGGAACCAATGTAATCGACATACTTAATTTTCTACAACAAAGCTGTTTTCAGCAGAGCTACGGAGCTAGCTCAGCGGTGGTAGTAGATCTCTTTTTGTTTTATTTTTACTGCGTATCTGTGACATACGTTTGAAAATGTAACATTCAAGTGACTAATTTGTAGTACTGCAATTGGACCGCATGACCTAATTATGTAACATGTATTATTCACGTATAAAGGGACACAATACTTACCCTAGCTAACGACGAATGTCTTTTACAGCGACAGGGATATAAACAATTTGTCGTTCATCAAATATCTGTGTTTTATAACTGTCACATTATTTAATACATTCAGCAGTTTAGTAGATTTCGTTCTTAAGGCTGAATATGCCAAAAACGTGATAAAAAGACGTCTATGTTTCTGGAATTGTCTATTCGCAGAACATTCCACACCGTTACGCTGTTATGCATCATAAATATGCCTTGTGACATTTCCAAGACAAATAGCCTGCTGTAGTTTTAGCTTTGCTGACAGGCTACACAGGGTTGTTCCTGCCAGGACCCAGATATTCTGAAAAATGATACTTTTTTGGATGATATACATATTCTAGCTACTGATTCTTTTGATGTTCTGACTGCA